AGTACGGATAGACGTGGAAGGTAGTATGGGCTGGTACTACTGGAAGCAGAGGATCCGTAATCGATTCAAGGAGGGCTGTAATGAATCCATGGAGCCTGTATAGTTATGCTTTCCCCAATATGTGCATTGATGCTTATTCTAATAGTTTTATGGTCTACTTTCAGTATGGTGATATTGTAAGGCAGGCCAATGGGCAGTACCAGTGTCAAGGAGGGTTCAGGATCAGGTTCTGGAGCCGGGCAGCTTGATGACCAGAGGAGGGTGTTCATCTCGTCTGATATTAGGCGTAGTATCCTTGATCAAACTCCTGTGATCTTTGGCATGGTCAAGGAGGGTATTCTGGAGATTCTTGATGAGATATTGAGTACCTTTCGCGTTGAGATTGTGGCATTAATCGGGACGCGCTCTCTGACCTTCAGGGAGTTTCGGGCATGTGGAGCGCCAGACTATCATGGGGATAGGGACCCCATTACGAGCAGCAGGTGGTTGGTAGATGTTGCCAACGCCTTTCGTATCAGCCGTTGTCCCGAGGGGGACAATGTCAGACTAGCATCCTGCCTCCTGAAGGACAGGGCTCGTGATTGGTGGGAGGAGGTAGGGCATGCTATAGAGGGTGATGTTATTGATTCGATGACTTGGAGTGATTTCGGGACCAGGTTTCGAGCCGAGTTTGCACCTGTGATTGAGGTGCAGCAGCTGGCGCGAGAGTTTCAGGATCTTTGTCAAACTACTGAGACGGTGACTAAGATCACCGATATGTTCAGGGAGAGGGCACTTCTGGTTCCACAGAATGTGGCGGACGAGGAGATGAAGAAGGCATGTTACCATGAGATGCTGAGGAGCGACATTCGGCAATTCATTAGCCGATCCAGTTGCAAGACGCTGGAAGACATGATAGCGAGGGCTACAGAGAGGGATATCAAATTAGAAATGGAGAAGAAGAGGAAGCCATATTCTGCGATGAGTGTCGAGGGTTCGGGCAAGAGGCCAGGGTATCTGATTCTAGACCGAGAGGCAGCAGGGTCATAGCCGATGTGGCAAGTGCGACAAGATGCACGAGGGGACGTGCATATGAGACTCCGTTATCTGATCTGATTTGCTTTCAGTGCAATCAGAGGGGCCACAAGAAGGCACATTGTCCGAGTTTGGCTGCGGCAGGACCGGTGTCAGCACCCGCTCCTGCGACATTGAGGATTATTGACGGCCGTCAAGGCCGGGCAGATGCGCCCGCGGCGAAGAACAGGGCATTCCAGCTGACGGTGGAGGAGGCGCGTGCAGCTCTCGACGTTGTGACAAGTATGTATCTTCTCCTTATCTCTTTATTTATATTGAATTGTTGCTTCTGTTTACGTGTTTTATTTTAGGATCATTCCTCATGAACGGTATCTCTACCTTGGTATTGTTTGATTCGGGGGCTACCCGATCTTTTGTATCTCTTGCGCTTAGCAAGAGATTTGTTGGAGCTCCAGGGGAGTTAGATCGTCCTCTTGATGTCGAGATTGCTGATGATAGGACGGTCAAGGTCGCGAGGGTTCATCGGGATTGTACCCTTCAGTTGTTCAGTGAGTGGTATCCAGTTGATATGGTTCCCATTCCTTTGCGTGGGAACAAGGTCATCGTGGGCATGGATTGGTTGAGCCCTAATGGGGAAGTGATTGACTATGAGCAAAAGCTAGTGCGGGTTCGGACCCCAAGTAGGGGAGAGTTGGTGATTCACAGTGAGAGACGCAGCGTGGGCCGATTATGTGTTCAGCAGCGAGAGCCAGACGTTATCTTCATCAGGGATGTTCGGGTTTTGTCGCTTATGTCATGGATACCCAGTATTTGGGTAAGGCGGCCTTGGATGATGTGCCGATTATACAGGAGTATCTGTACGTATTTCCAGAGGATTTGCCTGGGGTACCTCCAGAGAGGCAGGTGGAGTTTAGGATTTATTTGATTCCGGGTGTGGCTCCGGTAGCCAAAGCACCATATCGATTGGCTCCTCCCGAGATGCAGGAGTTATCTACACAGCTGCAGAAGCTGTTGGACAAGGGATTTATCAGGCCGAGTACTTCGCCTTGGGGAGCCCCGATTCTGTTTCTTAGGAAGAAGGATGGGTCTCATCGGATGTGTATCGACTACTGGGAGTTGAATAAGGTAACGGTGAAGAACTGTTATCCCCTCTCGAGGATTGATGATCTTTTCGACCAGCTTCAGGGTGCATCCTTGTTCTCCAAGATCGATTTATGATCGGGTTATCATCATATGCGAGTCAGGGACGAGGATGTGCAGAAGACAGCTTTCCGGACTCGCTATGGCCATTATGAGTTCGTGGTGATGTTATTTGGGCTCACCAATGCTCCTGCCGCGTTCATGGATCTCATGAACCGCGTGTGCAGATTGATGCTGGATCGGTCTGTGATAGTCTTTATTGATGATCCTTCCATCATCCCCACTGGGTAACTTCTTTTTGTTTACTCTTTTTTTTCTCTCTCTTTCTCTCACTGGATGAATAGAATTTGATATGATAATGACAGAAATTTGAAAGACACATTAGGTTAGCTGTAAAAAGTACTAAAAGGCTAAAAAATGTTATGTTATTTATTTATGGCATACAAATTATTATTTAATTAAACAAAATAATATTATGAAAATCTAAACAATTTTGTTTGTTAAAAATATAAGATCTCTCTGTCCATCTTTTGTTAAAAATCTTATGCGTGACATAACATAATAAAAAGCTTACAAAAATTCAAGGGCTATATAGAATAACTTTGTTTATTTCAAAGTTAGTCTTTTATATTAATTATTAATGGTTAATTATGGTATACGATAATTGTATAACATTGAAACAAAAGTAAAGGCAAGTTAACTAAGACTGAACGGTGTGGGCAACCCCCACGACCGTTATTCTGACGTGGCGGCCCCCTCAAAGTCGTTACCACGTGAAACACCCCCCTATTTGTTTTTGTCCGTTATAAGGCTACTCATTGCCCTTCGTTGCCCTCGTAACATTTCATAACGCGTTCAACGGTCAAAATTTCGACCGTTGTTGAACGGTAATATGTTAAAAAAAAAGTTAACCTTTCTTATTTTATCTATAAATAAACATACAAACATAAAATTTTACCAAACAATATTTTCTCATCTTCAATCTACTTAACTTTAAAAAAAAAACCATCTTTCCTTTCAGCTTACTATTGAGCAAAACCCGAACACCCCCGCCTCCAAACACAAACACATACATTCTGATGGGTTTCGCACAACACGGAAGTTATATGAACCTGCTCACCTCAAACTCACCCCCAATGCAATTTCCTACATCCCCTTACATGCAGCAAAACTCAAATCTTCAACAAAACTTTTTCAGTGCTTTTAGTTCCATGCAACAAACAACCACACAACCATCACCAGAAATTGTTCCTGAAACACAAGCGGGAGGCAGTCGGAAAGGGAAAGGGAAAGGAAAAGGGAAAAGGAAAGGGAAGACAGACGCGAATACAGAAGAAGAACCTCCACTATGGTGGACACCGGAGGAGGAGTATGCTTTGGCGGTGGCGTGGTGCGGGGCTTCAAAGAATCCAACCATAGGAAATGATATGTGAAGAGTTGGGTTTTGGGAAGTTGTGCCCGACATATTCCACATGCTTATGAAGAAACAACCATATCGGAATATCGACATGCTTAACAGCAAATGGACTCCGATCAGTCGTCGGTGCACAACGTTTAATGGGATTTTCATGAGACTAGAATCGCAAAGGCAAGGTGGTGCGAATGATTTTGATGTTTATAAAGCCGTGAGGGAACAATATCAAGTGGAAATGGGGCACGCTTTGGAGTTTGAAAAAATATGGGAGATTGTTAGGCTAGATCCAAAATGGAATAAGACGCTAACATCGGGGGAGGCACAATCAAAGAGGTCCTGCAATTCTAGTTCGTTTAACGTTTCCAATGTACGAACGGACGTCAACCTCAACGCAGACACGAATGATATCCCCGACGACATCAAAGAGATCTCCCCCCCCCCCCCCCCACGTCGACCGGTCGGACACGACAAAGCGAAACGTGCTTAACGTCACGCGGACGAAATTGATAGAAGGGCACAAGAGTTGGCGGAAATGAAAGCAAAGTTCGACCAATGCAATCTGATTGCCCAACAAAAGGTTGATGTGCAACGTGAGCATTTGGAGTTTCTTCATAAGCAAGCCGAGAAAGATCAAATGACGAATGATTTAGCAATTCTCCAGACCAATGAAACAAATATGGGACCACGAAAAGCGCTAGTGCTCCGGAAGATGAAGGAGAAAATCAAAAGACAATATTTGGATGACTAGTTGATCAGTTTTTAGATTTTAGGACGATTGGGTTTTTTTTTCATTCCACGTGTTTTTTTTTTGTGTGTAATGTTTTTTTTAAAAGTTTTTAATGTTATGGTTAATCTAAGGGAGGACGGAATCGTTTCTCTCCTCCTGCTCAAGCCGCTGGACCCAAGGTAAAGGGAGCCGAACTCGCCCAAGAAGGATGCCTCCCAACCCGTCTTCCCCAAATTTATTATTTGGTTTCAACCTCCAGCGGGTTCCTCAAACCGAAACACCCTTTTCTTTCTATCTTGCTCTCCTCCCGCTTATCCCTCTCCTCCTCCAACCCGCTACGACTCCTTCTCCCCTAAGAGTTAATTAAATTGCATGTTTCGTTTTTTTATTAATCCAATGTGATTAAAAAAATATAATGAAAAAAAAGACAATCAAAAATAAATAAATTGAAATAAAGAAAAAAAACCAAAAATAAAATAAAAATAAAAATGATGTCATGGAAAGTTAAAGATGTTATAACAAATTGTCAATTTTCTCCGTTTGGTGTTATATAGCGATTTTGACATAGCACATGAGTGGCACATTTTTTATGTAACACTTTTTAACTAGATGCCCACACCACTGGTATAAGAAAAAAAGAGTATAAGCTAAATATATGCTACGATCCCAACATGAATGTCTCATTTGACCATCCTGCCATCCACATCAACCACTGTCCACTACTGGAGGGCGTGTGGGGTTTTCTGCATCGGAAACTACTCTAGATGATTGTCGCATTTGATGTCGTTGTTCTTTCATAAATGCCGATATTAGTTGGAAAAAATTTACGAATCCCTGAATAGATTCTTTAAATACTCTAGTCCTCATGACAATGTACACGACAAGAGCAACCGTTGATGTTCCTCCTGTTAACTCAAATAGTACGGAGAAGCTCCGAAGGCTAAGACTCTCATCTTCATTAGGAAAAGATTCGTCATCCACACACTTCTCAGATATTAGAAACTTATCTTCAAGTTCTTTCAGTTTCCCACTTTCTGTTACCCTAATCACTGCGTTGTTTGCATCCGAAAGCCTAGGAAAATCCCGCGGGAATGCCTGCGATTTAATTTGAATTTTTAGGTCTAAAGACTTTGAATTTGGTAAAATCAATCACAATTCACAAGCACTTACGAATCCGAAACCCCCAACTTTGAATGTCTCTCCGGTTCTGACGAAGCTTTTGCAATACTGAGCTAGAAAGACTTTGGCTGCCGGAACTTCAAGAAAGATGGCAGCGATTTCACCACTGTTTAGGGCTTCTGCGTATCGATGAGTTGAATTATAGCTGTTGGTTTTGATGCTGTTGAAACCAAGAACATCTTCCAAGTAGTGATTCACAAAGGACCCGTTGCAGTACCCCACGGTTGCATTCATGTTTCTGAGCATCTCAACACTGGTTATGGTGGGTTCGAGTCGTTGAGCTGTGAGCATGCTCGCAAAGCTAGCCGTGTAGCTCTGTGTGATGATTAGCGCCACAAACAGCCAAACGACAGCCGCCATTCTTGACAAATTGCTATGCAACCTGTCCCCTGAAATTGATCATGTGTGAAACGACGAGATCAAAGATTAGAGAAAGTTTGTAAATGGTACCTCGCAAAGTGAAGAGTGTGGTGAATGCAAGCCAAATGACAATTCCGATTTGGGTTATGATGGAGCCTTGAAGATGTTTGCAATGGGGTCTCTCGATTAACCAAATGATGAAACCGTTGTAAAGGGTGATTGCTGCAATTAACCACCACATTGTTGCATTGAAAGGCTTCATGAACAACCATGGCCGGTTAGATACTCTGGATCGAATGGGGACAATCATCTCCAACCCTGATTCCGTATAAGGTTGTGTGAAATCCAAGTACTCATGCCTGGTCGACACAATTGTTACGTCGCCTGCTATTGCGTCAACATTCTGCAACGATTCGAGAGAAAAAAAAAATACCAAATCAGCGATATGTGCAAAAAAGTTTTGGTTCGTTATAGAGTTGTTAATGTTATGATGGTGACCTTTGCAGGTATTTCTCTCATCAGTTTATCGTAAGAACCATTGAATGGAAAATAATCGTATGAGAGATTCAATTCTCTCATTATTTCATCAAACACAGCGATTACGAATCCACCGATTACTGTTTGATTCTTCTCGGGATTATATTCCACATTCACGAATTGCTTAAACAGAGACCGACCAGGAACGCCGACCCTCATCCGATGCTCTGAACTTCCGGCGAGATTCCGGCGTCTTCTCTGAGCATACCACGGTTGCACCGGCCAAAGAGCTTGTCCCACGCTATCCATAGAATTGGAGTAAGCGGTTGCTCCATTGATGTCACCGTCAACGTTCTCTGAAAACCCTAATCCTTCGGTCCAGTACACACTGTGATAGCCCTTTCCGATCACGTTAACGATTTCGACTAGAATCTGCTTGGTTGGTCTTTTCATCTTTTGTGATCAAAGTTTTCAAGTGAAATTTTTTCTAACAATTTCACAGCCTTATATCCTTGCACGGCAAAAACTCCAGGTTCGTCCTGCTCTTCTTCTGAGTAATCGGAACGGAACTTTTGACGGAATCTTTTCCTGAAATCTAGGAAATCCGGTGTCTTTTCCGGGAAGTAGCTTTTGACTCCAACTACACCTTTCAGTGAAGAAATCATGGTGGAATTAATGGAATGAAAAAGATCTGTGATTCTATTAGTTGCAATCCACAGATACCCGTCTCCGGTCATCTCCATCTTCTTGGCTGCTTGAAAGAGGCGCATCCCGAGTTGCAGAGACGTATGAATTAGAAAGACTTGACGTTGTTGTTTCTTGAGCACGTCAAGCTCTTCATCGAAGAACGATGAACCAGATGCTAGTGGCAAGATCTGGATTAGCTCAGAACCTGTTTGTCGAAATGCCTGAGAGAGGTCAGAAATGATCGATGCTGTTGAGGCTAGATGTGAAGTTTCGTATATGAGAGTAACTTGGGGTATACCCCATGACTGTAAAATGGCAGCAACTGCATTCATCTGTGTTAACTGTCTAGTAGTACTAGCTAGTGAGAGAAAGACTGGGACATTTTGATCAGCTTCACTGATAACCTCAGCTATGGCAGAAGCTTCTTCCCATGTAGGACCTCCCAAAATGGCTTTCACATTGTCTTCATCAATAAGATGTTTTGCTGCATTCCCACATCATCTCTCAGCATGTTAGCATATGGGTAAGATTCTATACAACCAAATCAAACTTCTTTAACATGAATTTGACAACTTTTTATTAAGAAAAGCATAATAATTTACCTGCAATAGCTGCATGAAGGGGTTTGTTTCGAGAGTTTTGAAGATATAAAACCATAGTCTGATTGGTTTTGATGTTGAAATCTTGAATTGCTATCTCAATGGCTACTTTGGCTTCTTTTCCAGGCCTAGAAGTTTGATCAAGAATCAGACCAATGCTGAAATTTGCAGTGATCACTGATGCTTGCAGAAGAAACCACAACATTGAGAAAGCAACCAAAGAGACCAGGTAACTTGCAGAACTATGCATCTTCATTTAGATTCTTCTTTATTCGTTACGTAGATTCATATAAATATCTTAAAAGTTGTTGCATGTTCCCTGGAATCATATGATTATTTCAATACATAATATATATTGTTTTGTACCCAAACGTCCATCACACGGTTGGTTAGAATTTTCCAAAGGAAGAAATTTGTTGTAGCTTCCACTGATGTCAACTCTATGAATTAATATTGTAAGTAAACCATAATTTCAAATGTTATATCATATACTTGTTTTGAATGGTTTAAGAAGGTTTTATGCTTGTATAACTGTTTTAACATATATAAATAAAATTGTCTCGAACTAGATCTTGATCCAAAGTAACTTGGTCAATGCATGGCTATTTTTTGGTTAGTCTAATTACTCATTCAAAGTCTTGCAAGGTTCTTTTTCTACAAGACATCAAATGTCTACTTGTGTTATTTTCAGAAGTCAAGATGACTAAATGATTCAAGTTGGAAGTAAATTTGAAAAATCAAGATTTGACTTAATAGAGGGAAGATATGTGCTATGAAACACCCATGAATTTACCTATTGGATGGTCAGGGAAGTTTCGATGGATGTTAGAGACGTTGAAAGAAAAGAAAAAATCGTATTCCTCTTGTCTGATTGCACCCCCCAGACGCTGCTTCTTCCTTCGCCAGACTTGTTGTCCCATCGCAGCCTTCGTTGTGTCGGCGCTACTCCTTCCTTCCTCAGAATTTCATTCTGCTACGCCAGAGTTTCCTACTCCATTACCAGGTTTGTTTCGTTTTCCCTGAAGTTGATTTTGTGAATTTGATTTTTCTGGATAGCTTCGTTATTTTCTGATCTTATACATGATTCATGTGTTGATTTTGATTTGGAATGATGTTTTGTTGAAATTGGAACTCGGAATTTGTTGACTGTGATTGAATTTCTATGTTATTTTCTGATATTATACATGATAACCTCATCGGTTGAGATGATTGGAGATGATAGTAGGATTGATTGTTGATTTGAGATTCAACTATTCGTATTCCTGTTTTACATTGGTTAAGATCCATAATACATAATTTTATTATACAAATAATGCACATCGGGTATTACTGTTGTTGTGTAGTAGTCATGTTTGGGATTAATTTGTTCTTAATCTCATGACTGATTTTTCAAACAAGCAGCTGGCAATGGAAATTCAAGGATCTATCAAAATTAATTATGAGGATCATGGAGATGAGTGTAATGCACCAACTAAAAATCTCATGAACTTAGAGTTTGATGTTTAGATAATTTAGGATAATTTTGTAATATAATGTAGGGTGGCTATTTTCATTCATTATATGTAGATTGTTAAAAAAAATTATTAATGTCTTCAAAATGATCTTATTTATTGCTCAATAATGCAATGGAAATTGTTAAATTTTGTACATTGTATATAAATAATTAAAATTTGTTTGTTAATCTTTTTTTCAAAGTCTTAAGTTTAAAAAAATCAGTTATTTTTTTAGCATCTGCAGACTTTAAAAAAAAACAGTCTTCTTCTTGCAGACTGCAGACATTTGGTTCACATCTTCTACTACAGAGGTTTACAAATGTGGTTCACAGACTGCAGACATTTTTGTAACATCCATAAAAATCACGATAAATTTAAACTTTTAAAATCAACCCAAATTCATAAAATATTTACAAAATAGTTTTCAAGACATTTTCCAGCATCAGAGTCTCCCAAAACGATAAGTCATAAACAAGAGGATGTGTACGGTCACGCCTTCGCCTTCCCACGGTCATCCGAAGTACCTGAAACATAACCCAAAACTGTAAGTCAACGCTTAGTGAGCTCCCCCAAAGTACCACCACATAAACATATTAACAAACAGCATGCATACAGAGCCTTCAGCCTAACTGGAACACCACACCAGCCTACAGACTATCTGGAACGCTCACAGAACCTTCAGCATGACTTGTACGCCTCACCGGGCCTTCAGCCTATCTGCACCATTCTCCGGGCCTTCGACCTGATTGGTACGCCTCTCAGGCCTTCAGTCTATCCGGGACACCTTGGGTCTCTTGGCCTTCAGTCTACACTGGTCTGCCTCAACCTAACCACACAACATGTCGACATATACATAACATATAAACACATATATAACCAGTCAACAGACAATCAGGCAGATCTTCCAGATCTCTAAACATAGCATCATCCTATATACCAGGATACCGATCTAACAGATCACTACATTACGATAACATACTATCACATAACATGATATCTAATCCAATGGGCCAACCTTGGTGCATTCGACCCACAAGTACAGTAAGGGAAACTCACCTCACAAACTGGACAAAAGTTAATGAGGTCTCGACTTCGAATCTCAGCTCTAACTGTCACCTATTCCATCCAAATAACCAATCTCAATCAAAATCCCAAAATTCCCAAAATACCCTTAAGGTCAAACTTGGTCAAAGTCAAACTGGTCAAACCAACTAAGTCAATTGAGTCAACCTAGCTGAGTCAACCCAACCGAGTCAACTCAGCCGAATCGACTCAGAGTGAGTACGTGGGGCGTACTCCGAAGGTACGTTGGGCGTACTTCCATGTTGACCACCATCGGGGTGGTTAACCTCGTACGCAGGGCGTACTCCTAGAAGCCTCAAAACTCAATAAGTGCTTAATGGCTTAAGCACCCACGTCCATTTTTCAGACCCATAGCTAAAATACTCTCATAAGTCATAAAGTTTCCAACTTTATGACTTTGCATGTCCATTAAGTGCTTATCTCAACTTCTTAATCCATTAAGACCTTCTAAAGGATGTATGGAGCATAACCAACCACTTGAACTCCATTTTTATGACTCAAGACCCTTCCAAGGGTCTGAAAGGACAGCTCAATGGGTCAAGAACATGCTATGTTCATGAATCATCATTTTGGGACCAAAAAGTGTCTTTAAAGAGCAAAACCTAGATCTACAAGATGGAGTGGTAAAGATGCAAGCTTTATACCTTCAAGATGATGCAAACCAAGTAGAAATCACAGATCCAAAGTTCCCTCAACTCCAAGATCTTCTCACCACCTTCTTCTTTCTTCAAAACTCACTTTAAGGCTCAAAATTGCTCTCACTTGCTCTAGGGTTGCTTGAAGGTTGAAAACACAAAAGGAGACTGGGTAAGAAGAGGGTTTGTGTCAATAAAGTTGCTTAAATATGAGCCAAAGCCCTAAAATTAGGGTTTGCATGCCATCCGCGTATGCCTCACGTACGAAGTGTACGCCCAACGTATTAAGGCGCGCCTTAGTACGCTTAACGTACACACACGTACGCATGGCGTACTTAAAACTCCCAATTTTACCAAATTTCCACTGTGGGCCCTTTTTCATACTTTCTTACACTTAGGGACCAACAATGCAATATAAATCATTTATATTACCAAATTTGGAAGTACCTCATCATCAGGATGTTACAATTTTGCTTCTGAAAAAACAAACAACACCTAAGTTAGTTTTCATTCTTTTAGGTTTACAATGTTTAATGGGTTGATTGCATAAAATGTGACATTCTGTTGGCATTTTTTTGTTGGGTCTATTCCACAAAAACCTATTTACAACCTTGCTTTTTTAGCCTCAACTTTATTTTTTGTTTCTCATTTGCCATTATATTTTAAAAAGCGTTTTATTTTTGGGACCTTGGCCGGTCACCAACAAGTCATGATGACGTGTCGGTTACGTATCTTTCACAGTTTGCAGTTAGCCCCAATATTTACTTATGAGTTTGCATTTATCCTCAACATTTACGTATGAGTTTGAATTTAGCACCATCATTTTTTTGTTCCCCATTTGTCATTATTTTCTAGAAAATATTTCATTTTAGCCACTGGCCAGTCATAAGGTATTTTTAAAACGTAATAACTTAAAATGAAACAGAAAAAAAAACGAAGACAATAGTCGAAACTGTGACTTCTTTTTTAGGGTGGGACGTGTTAGCTAGTAAGCCAATGGCTCTTATTATTATTATTATTATTATTATTATTATTATTATTATTATTATTATTATTATTATTATTATTATTATTATTATTATTATTATTATTATTATTATCAGTGTTTGTTGTATTTAATGTACACATGTATTTTAAAATGAAGGAAAAGACCTAGTGTAAGTCTCGAGTCTGAGACATCTAATAAATGATATGACATGTTAATCTTTGAGCCAATAAAAATTGTCATTTCTTTGGTTTCTAAATAAATATGTCATTATAAATATCTGGCTTCTCAACAAATATGTAATCAGAAATAATCAATTGTTTCTTAGATGAGTTACAAATGAATTAACAATTTTGATTTGCTTAAGATTAGCATGTCATAATGTTTATTAGATGTCACAGACTCAAAACTTACACTATGTTTTTTTCCTTCATTTTAAAATACATGTGTACATTAAATACAACAAACATTGATAATACAAAAAAAAAAACCATTAACTGTTTTGACTCTTTAGAAGTATTTGGTTTCCCAATAAATATGTCATTATAAATAGTTAACTGTTTCTTAGATGAGTTGTGAATGAATTAACAATTTAAATTGGCTTAAAGATTACCATGACATATTGTTTATTAGATGCCACGAACTCATGACTTACACTAGGTATTTTCCATCATTTTAAAATACACGTGTATATTAAATACAACAAACATTAATAATACAAAAAAGAGAGTCATTGATTTAGTAGCTAACACGCCCCACCCCGGTCGTAGTTTTGACTCTTGCCTTCATATTTTCCTTTTTTCATTTTATACTTATTACGTTTTAAAATACCTATTTGTGGCTGGTCAATGACTAAAATGAT